TAGTGTTGTTGTAAATATTAAAATAATTGAATTATGGTACGGAACCGAACCGAACCAACCCGAACCGAACAGGACGGAACCGAACCCGAACGGTTCCATAATTATATTTGGACCCGACGATTCCATTTATTAAATACTCGAAAATTTTTGGTTGGTTCGAGTCTTTTCAGAACCGAACCGAACTGACCCACGGACTGCCCTAATTCCAAAATATATTCTTCCAAAATAACGTGATTCAAACACATTTTATTTCATTATTTACTACTTGCTTGACACGTGTTATACCATTAGTTTAAGTTATTCCATCATAGTATTTACAGCAAGATGGGGTCTCAAGCATAATTGACATGTGTGCTCGTTATCTTTTATAAAATTCACGAATTACTTCCAACTTACTTGTATTGTTTTTACGGTAGAATTTAAAAAAATAAAATAAAAATCGTTTTAACATTATCTTGTCCTATTTTTATGAGTATTTAGAAGAGCGAAAATGATCCCCAATTTATGTATATTTGTGCATTGAAATTCTATGTTCCTTCCTAGGTTGGTTTTGTCTATATTGCAAGGGAGATCCTGTTGAAATTTTAACAAATCATGTCATGTTAGGTAACTGTTGAGGGTAGCGCAACGCAACTATGTTTTTTAAAATAACTCCGAACTATCATATATCTTTGAGGCGAACAATAAGTCATCGCCTATATGGAGCAAACTTATATTTCTGAGGCCAACTGTACAGCCTCGTCTATCTGAAATTGGCTTGCGACCCCTTTCCATTATATTTTAGAGGCCATTCGCAAGTCTTCATCTACATGGGGGCTAGCATAGATTTCAAAAGGCCAATTTCAGTATTGCGAAGGTCATTCATAAGTCCTCACCTATTGAAGTCGACTTAGGTTAGATCTTATCTTTGAGTCCTCATGTCTCGGAGGCTATTCGCCACACTCATTCATTAGAATTTAGCTCATATTTCTGAGGCAATTCGTATCCTGTCCTTGAGAACATCTTATATTTCAAGAGTTCATCATGAGTCTTACATTGCCTGGGGCAATATGGCAAACTTCTCGCCTCTACTTTTCTTTTATGTCAAATGATGCACGTAAATATATAACTCAAATTTGGTGGACTATTGTTACTCTTATATTTTACGTTGTGCACAAGCGACAAGATGGTGCCTCACATTATTTAGTTGGGCTTTGACTATCCATTTTTGGTAGACTGGTGGTGTAAACTTAATTGTGCAAATAAGATCATGTCATTAAAAGTCTCGGGCAATCTTGTCATAGGCTTAGGCCTAGCTCGTATTTTACAATGGATGGGGATAAAACA